GGAGGGTGGTGTGGGGCCGGGAGGGAGTGGGTACTGCTGCAGCCGCCGCTTAAAATGGCGGCGGCTCGAAGCGGCCGCCATTTTCTCGTCAGCTTCTTGTCGCTTTCTTCTTCCGCACAAAATGGCGGCTGAGGTCAGTGGCCGCTCCTCCTCTCCGCTTTGGGATCACGGCGGATGCTAAGCGGAGGGGTGGAGGAGACCGGCAGCCCTTGCTAAGCGGGGAAAGGAAGCTAAGCAGTGAGCGTTTGAGGTTAGAACCGCACGTTTGCAGCGAGGGCAATGGGGTCGGATCGCGCCGGTCCGTAGCTCTGCCTTGCGGGGAATCGGACCGGCCGCAGGATCCTCGGTCTCCAGCTGCGGTCTCTGGGGCCCCGGCTGCCCGAGAGGTTTGCCCTTGGAGCGGAGCCGCCTTGCTGCGGTCTTAGGATTTTTAGAATCCGTGTTGCTTGGGGGGGGGCGGTGAGGGAGAAGTTACTTGTTCCCAAGAGTCGATAGCGAGAGGATTGAGGGGTTTTGTTGTTTGTTTTTTTTTTTTTTAACTCCCCTGTCTCGGTTCCCCGCGGAAAGGAGAGCGAACTACCGAGCAGCAGTATTTGTCGGCAGCAGCTTAGCCTCGCCCGTGGTTCCTGCTCAGGCTCGGGCGGCGAGAGGCGCTGCTGGAGCGGGGGTGGTGATGGCGGCGGGTACCGACTCCTTCGGGGCCGCAGTTTTCCGCCGCCGGCGAAGCTCGCCTCCTCCCTTTGCAGAGAACAAAGAGCCGGCCGGGCTCCTTGGCGGCGCCTGAGCCTCAAAAACGGGCGGCGCCCGGTGGGGGGAAGGGGAGGCGGCTCGGTGCGGCCGGAGCCGCCAGCTCCATGCGGCAGGGTAGCGCCTGCCTCCTGCGGGTGGCGCCCCTCCCGCTCCCGCAGCCCTTTTGTTCGGCGGCGGCCATGTTGGGAGCCCTTCCTCGTGCCCGCGCTGCCGCGGAGGATCCGCCGGGGCGCGGGAGTAACGGCCGCCGCCTTCACCCCTTCAGGCTGCCTTCTCTTGGGCTTTCTCAGGCTGGCTTTCCGAGGAGGTGACCCCCTGCTCGGTACTGTAACGTCTCGGAGCAGATCTGTGATGGAGCCTCAAAACGCCTGTGTGGGTGGTGGTTTTTTTCACGTGCTCCCCAGGCGTTGCTGTCCCCATCATTAGCTTTCTGCTACGTGAGCAGTGCAGCGAGATTTTTCTTCCTGCTGCTGTCTGGCAAGCTAAAATTTGAGGTGGGATGGGGCGATATTTTTCTTTCCGTTTTTAAATAGCTTAGTCGGCCGTTTGAACTTGAATGTAGAATATATACCCTTTATATTAAGTGTACATTTCGTGATTTGATACTTCTCACTTTGAAACGTGATTACTTTGTCTCTTTGTCTTGCATAATTCATCATAGTTTGCAAAGCATATTAGTAAAGATTCATTTAGTCATGCCGTACTAGCAGAAAAAACCCCCTTTTTTATTTTTTCTTTTTGCAAGTGTTTTGGGGGATTTGACACGGTAAATTTGAGGGTCTTTTATTTTCTTAGTCCATGATTCCCTCATCTGTCCTCTCTCACCCCATGCCTGTAATGACTAAATTGGCCTTTCTGTGAGTATCCAGAGTATTGCATGCATCAGAGTTTTCTTACCTTTTATGAAGTTTAGTGTTTAAGAGTTTACATTTTCCAACAAACGTTTGTACTTTTAATGTAAGTTCGGTACTATGGATGCTAGTAAAACAACTATAATATGAATACTTGATTTGTCTTTCTAGGTTTTGTTTTTCCCCACCCCGTCAATTTAATTTTATTCTTTTGAAGATTCTTCGTTGTCAAGCCGCCAAAGTGGAGAGTGCGATTGCAGAAGGGGGTGCTTCTCGTTTCAGGTACTAGTGCTTTTGGTTTGTTTGGTGAATGCTTGGTGGTAGAAACTTTCCTTTGAGAAGAATTTAAATTTATGTTTATACTGAAACTGATCTGTAATTGAAAGGATTGGGATTTTGAACTCACAAAAGATTACATGGTTGTTTTTGGCAGTGCTTCTTCAGGCGGAGGAGGTGGTAGGGGTGCACCTCAGCACTATCCCAAGACTGCCAGCAACAGGTATGTCATCTTGCTCTTGGTTTGGCATGATTTTAAAGGCAGAGAATGCTTGGTTGTGAGTATTGAGTTGAAAATCTAGTATCTTTGTATTACAAGGAGTCCCTACTGAGTTCATGACAAGTTTATGTCCTCCAGTCTGTGGCAGGGTAGCATATAATCTGTTAAGAGCATGTGTTATGAGTGGCAGAAGATGCCAAGACTTCTCATGTATTTAAAGGTTTAGAGTTTAGAAAACCCAAGAGGTTTTCTTGGGTGTCCTTTTTTTTCATTGTTGTTGAATGAATCCTTTACTACGCAACAGATGTTGCAGTGTTGTTAGTGGTAAGTGCATGCTCTTAACAAAGCTAGTAACAGAATTAGCCTTAAGTAAGGCAATACTAAAAGGTTAAAGGTCAGTTCTTGAAATCAATTGTTTAACACTGGTATTAAAATTTTACAGCGAGTTCCTGGGGAAAACCCCAGGGCAAAACGCTCAGAAATGGATTCCTTCACGAAGCACTAGACGAGATGACGACTCCGCAAACGACAAAGAACGACATGATGCAATCTTCAGGAAAGTAAGAGGGTAAGTTCTCCTTTACCATTTTCTTCTGCAGTATATATCTTGAGTAAATGGGCTGGAGGAAAGGAAAGGAAAACATGGGTCTTGAGGAGTTCTGGGGAGGGGGTGGTGGATGTAGGCATGTGGTGCTCTTTGGAGGGAAGGGGGCAGAAACTGATACGCCAGTAGCAGCAAAAAAGTAATTCTTGTGAGAGGATCAGTCTTCAATAATACTTCACATTCCAAAGAGCTCTCAAAAAGAAATAGTTCAGTGGAAAATCACATTTTTCAATTTTAGTTTAATATACTTTAGAAGTAAAGGTAAACTTGGGTCTAAAATTACTTGTAGCATGCGTGTAATATCTGTAATTTGGATTTCTATTGTTCTTTATTCCTCCTTAGCATATTAAATAAGCTTACTCCTGAGAAGTTTGACAAGCTATGCCTTGAGCTCCTCAATGTGGGTGTAGAATCTAAGCTCATCCTAAAAGGGGTCATACTGCTGGTAAGCTGGCTGCATTTCTTTTAACTAAGGTTTGCTTGCATGTTAAAAAAGATGTTGGATGGTTTTGATGGGATACAGAAGTAACATGGTTAATGTGGTGCTTGATCCAAATTTAACAAATACCATTTCTGCCTTTTATGTACAAAGGACATACTGGGGAGGAAGTAGACTTAGTGCTCTAACCTTCTCTCTTAAAAGTCTCAAGAATCGCTAGACGTGGCCAGGGATTTTCTTGTTCATTTGGGTTTTTTTTATAATAAAAAGTGCTAGTTAGCAGATTTAATCCATGCATCCCCTCTTCTGTTTTCCTGATGAACAAGCGTAATGGTCTCGGAAAATATACCACAGGTGACTTCTTGGTACCCTGATTTAACTATGTCACTTTGTTCTATCTGAGATCAGATTTGCCATACTAACTTTCATGTTATGATGATAAACTTAGAATTTTTGCCATTTGTTGGCCAAGGATTATAGGAGCTCTTTGGTAGCACAGAACTGCTTGGCAAAAAAAGACCTGAGGGTATTGGTCAGCAGCTGGCTGAATAGTAGCCAGCAGTGTGCCCAGGTAGCTAAGAAGACCAACAGCATCCTGGCCTCTATTGGGAACAGTGTGGCCAGCAGGGATATTCAAGATGTACTCGGCACTGGTGAGGCACCATCTTGAATGCAGTGTTCAGTTTTGGGCCCCTTGCTACAACAAAGTAATTGTGGTGCTGGAGATGTACTCAGCACTGGTGAGGCCCCATCTTGAATGCAATGTTCAGTTTTGGGCCCCTTGCTACAAGAAAGTAATTGAGGTGCTGGAGGGTGTCCAGAAAAGGGTAATGAAGCTGGTTGAGGGGTCTGCAGAACAAATCTTATGAAGGAACTGGGATTGTTCAGCCTGGAGAGACCTTATGGCTCTCTGTAAGTGTCTGAAGGGAGGTTGTAGTGAGGTGGCTGTATCGCCGTCACTGGAGGTATTTAAAAGATGAGTAGCCATAGTGCTTAGGGACGTGGTTTAGTGGTGGTTTTGGTAGTGTTTTAGCTTAATGGTTGGACTCAAATCTTAAAGGTCTGTTCCAACTCAGACAATTCTATAATTCCATAAAATAGCTTTTTTCTTTTGCTTCAGTATTAAGACTAGTGCTAAAACAAAGTACATTATTTCTGTATGTTTGCTGAAATAGTGGAATAAGTTAGATGTTCCTAGATTACATAGAGTGGTAACTCTCCAGTGTGTATGTTAAAGCTGGCGTTGATAATTACGAGTGCATCCTGCTACATGCCACCTTACTCTATAAATTTATTTAGATCGTAGACAAAGCCCTTGAAGAGCCCAAGTATAGCTCGCTGTACGCTCAACTATGTCTGCGACTGGCAGAAGATGCACCCAACTTTGATGGCCCATCAGCAGAGAGTCATCCAGGACAGAAGCAAAGCACAGTGAGTATATCTCTTGATATGGAATGTAAATTTTGCTAGTATGTATAGTTGCACTGATTAGCTTTAATTGTTTTCTTTCTTCTTTTTTTCTTAGACATTCAGACGCCTCTTAATATCTAAACTTCAAGATGAATTTGAAAACCGAACCAGAAATGTTGATAGTAAGCTTTAAAACCACTTTAATACACAATTTATTTGTCTTGTCTATCCACAGCCTTGTTAAACAGGCTTCTTTTTTTTTTTTTCAGTCTATGATAAGCATGATGGTCCCCTCCTCCCTGAGGAGGAGGAACAGAGAGCCATTGCCAAGATCAAGATGCTGGGGAACATCAAATTCATTGGAGAACTTGGCAAGCTTGATCTTATTCATGAATCTATCCTTCATAAGTGCGTCAAAACAGTGAGTATTCAGATTGGGTTGGGGCTAAGAGCAAAATAGGACTTCTAAACTGAAAAATGAAAATGTGTTTGCTGCTTTGGGAATCTGGGACCATAATTGCCAGAAAAATGTTTCCTGTCAATTATCTACCCTCCACTGTTTATAATAAACAGTCTTCTGGTGTGGTTAGAAAGTAAAATCAGCTTTGTTCAAAGCCATGGGAATTGTCTCCAAATAAAGATCTGGTTTAGCAGAAGTACCACAGGTACTTCAAAGTACATATGCTTATGAGTAATAAGTAGTTCAATTAGCAATTCTTAAAACCTAATTTTCAAGTCCATTTGTCTTCAGAACAAGATGAAATGTTTCTGTGTGTCCCTGTGTACAAAGTTGTTACTTACTAATTGTCATTTATAGTATGTTGAAGTGCCTAATTCCCGTTTAATATTTCAGCTTTTGGAAAAGAAGAAGAGAGTCCAACTCAAAGATATGGGGGAGGATTTGGAGTGCCTCTGTCAGATAATGAGGACAGTGGGACCTAGATTAGACCATGCAAAAGCCAAGGTATGTGAGTATCCACTGCAGTCATTGAGCTAGTTAAATTCTATGGCCAAGACTTTCTAGTTGTCTGAACCTTCTGTATTTGGTGTTCTGTTCTATTCCTAAGTACCGTGGTGTGGCTATCAGAGAACAATGGTTTTAAATGTCTTTGCAGAATGCAGTTAGGGTCATTAGCAAGTCATAGAGAATATTGTTTCTCTAAATGCTGCTTGAAAAGTTGTGGTGAGGAACTGTTCTGTATACAACTTGGTGATGTGACAGATAATTTTTGGACACTGACAGGTTCTGAATGTAAACTTGAAATGGTGTCATAGTAATGAGAATTTTGCCAGGGTTTTCTCTCTGTCTCAGCTAAGATGCTGTGATGTATTAGCTTTCCTTAAGCTCTGCTGCCATCAAGGAGTTTGAGGTGACAGGAAGGGGCAGTCAGTTCTATTACGTGATCTTTGATGTCCTGAACGCAGTCACCTTTCCTGAAATGACTCTCAAGACACTGATAGAATTAGCCCTCACTTTCACTATCCTTTTTGTTCCCCCAGTCCTTAATGGATCAGTACTTTGCCCGTATGCGCTCCTTGATGTCAAGTAAGGAATTGCCAGCAAGGATTCGTTTCCTGCTGCAGGTATGAAGATAAAATGGCTCACCGCTTCCTTTTTCTTGCAAAGTTGTCTTGAATGTTTTCCTAATTAATAATTCCTTATGTTCCAAGGATACTGTGGAGTTGAGAGAACACAACTGGGTTCCTCGCAAAGCTTTTCTTGACAATGGACCAAAGACTATCAATCAAATCCGTCAAGATGCAGTAAAAGTAAGTGTTGCATGTAAAGTCTGTGCTTGGCTTTGGTTTAAGTGTGTGACGTGAATCCTCACGCTCTTTACCCCATGTCACAAAACTTACACTCTGCACTTATGAGTAGTTACAGTGTGACAGTAGGGGGTTACAAGTTAAAATCTGATGGACTTCATAGTTCAGGGCTAGAAGCTTTCTTGGGGACTATTATTCCAAACTGATCAAAATTATAATTGTTGTTTTAAAGGATCTGGGAGTTTTTATTCCTGCTCCTATGTCTCAAGGGATGAGAAGCGACTTCTTTCTGGAGGGACCCTTTATGCCACCCAGGATGAAACTTGACAGGGACCCACTCGGAGGGCTTGCTGATATGTTTGGACAAATGCCAGGTACACAGAAACTGCAAGGATGATGTGATGACTGTAGCTGTACTGCATCAAAAAACAACTGAAACTATATTTTGTCATTTTAATAATCCAGGTAGCGGAATTGGTACTGGTCCAGGGGTTATTCAGGATAGATTTTCACCCACCATGGGACGCCATCGTTCAAACCAACTTTTCAATGGCCATGGGGGTCACCTCATGCCTTCTGCTCAATCCCAGTTTGGAGAACTAGGCAAATCTTTTCTGAAAAGTCAGGTAAGGAAGATGTTGTTGGTAGAGTGACTTCAGCATGTTTAGAAGCTCTTCTCCAGATGCGTATGTTATGGATTATAGTCCATTTATGTTAAAAGACTTTCTCAGATCTGATTCTGATAAGAACTGATGCTCAGCTGATACAAAAATTCTAAACCACTTCTTAAATTGTGCAAGAGATGCAAGGAATACACTTTTTTTTACTGCAAGAAAAGGTGCATGTGGCTTTGGTGGGTCAGAATGGTGTGTTATATTTAAAAGATAGCCCTGTTTTTAGGGATAGATGCTACTCTCCCACCACCCCTGCTCCTTCTTTCTCCCTTCTTGGCAAATAGGATCTTTGTTCCTCTGGTCCCTCTGGTACTACTTACCATATGATGTACGCCACTCCATCATCTGCACTTCTTTCTCTATATCTCCCTTTCTGAAATAGGGGCAAAGCCAGCTCTACCATAACCAGAATCAGGGACTCTTATCCCAGCAACAAGGACAGTCGAAGGATATGCCACCTCGGTTTTCTAAGAAAGGACAGCTTAATGCAGATGAGGTACATTACATGCCTACATTACTTAAAGCCTATTCTCAATATTGCCCAATGATTATAGCAAGACGCGTTATTATGAGGACTAATGCTGGAACTCTTTCTCCTCCTCCTCCTTCTCCTCCTCCTCCTCCTCCTCCTTTGTCCCTTCCTCTTTCACCTTACCCCTCACTTTCCTTAGGGTATCCAGCGTCCTATGAGCAAGACTGAGATATGAGGGCAATTTCTTGGGGTGTCTCTTCCCCACACCTCCCCAAGAACACTACTCTGACATCAGTTCCCATGCATCGTATTGATTACAATACATTTAATGAAAAACTTCAGAAAATCCTGAACTTTAGAAACCCTGAAGTGCTGAACCAGGCTAAATTTTTATTTTACTTTTTTTTAAAGAACTGGCTAATAGGCAAAATATCAAACGCAAAGTAAAATGGCGTTGTTGTTTTGAGTGTTAACCAGGCTTGTATCCTGATTTCTGAGCAATTAGTAGAGTTTTATCTTGGCTGTAAAATACGTGAGCAAACATGCATAGTATCTTCTTGGGTCTCTAACATACTGCATCTAAAAGGAGCAATTCCAGATCTTGATACCAATGGCACTAAATACCAGTAACTCGTAGCAAGTTGTGATTCATTGAGTCATGCTTTTGGGGGAATTTCAGTACACATGTGGCTTAATCTATATTTGAGTGTTAACATTGTAAAAATGGGAAACTTACGCTTCAGTGGGATCAGTTGGTGTGAGTGCATGGCTGTGTGTTTTCGGTCAGAATACTTGAAACAGTTTTTTCTGACTTGTCTGTCTGCAGATTAGCCTGAGACCTGCTCAGTCTTTTCTAATGAACAAAAATCAAGTGCCAAAGCTTCAGCCTCAGATAACTATGATTCCTCCCAGTGCTCAACCACCACGCACTCAAACACCACCTTTGGGACAGGTAAAGATAAAAATTAAAAATATATTGTTGGTTGTACTTAATTTTTTTTTGTGTGTGCATGTAAAACTTAAAGCAGTTTTTAATAAGGGAAGGAAGAGAGGTCTTTCATTGCACAGAGAAGGATATATGAAAATAATATATGAAAACCTAATTTGGCTTTCATCTGCCTTTGTACAAATTTAGTGTTCTTAAATATGATACCAATGTATGTATATGTACTGCAAAGTAAAAAATTCCGGTACTGTCTTTTTCAGCCTCCTCAACTTGGTCTTAAAACAAATCCACCACTGATACAAGAAAAGCCTGCAAAGACCACCAAGAAACCACCTCCTTCTAAGGAAGAGCTACTTAAACAAACTGTAAGTTAAGCATGCAGTGGTGCTTCTTGAAGCCTGGCACATGCTCTTTCTTTACAAATGAACATTTGTTTAACTATGGATAATTCTTTTTCATCTAGGAAGCTGTTGTGACTGAGTATCTGAACAATGGAAATGCTAATGATGCTGTCAATACTGTGAGAGAAATGAGAGCTCCAAAACACTTCATTCCTGAGATGTTGAGCAAAGTAATCATTCAATCCCTAGATCGATCAGATGAAGACAAAGAGAAAGCAAGTACTTTGATCAGCTTGCTCAAGCAGGAGGGAATAGCCACAAGTGACAACTTCATGCAGGTACTGGGATCTAATAGCCTTACAGTCCTTGTTGCTTGGCTGTTAGTGATGTTTAGACTCCATAAAGGCAGTACATGATTTTTTTTTAAGTCTTGTTGATCTGAGGAGGCAAAAATAACACAGAAATCTCTGAAGGGCATAGGAAGTGATGAAAGGAAAAATGTAGGTATGGGATTTCAATGACTAGAAATAGGGAATCTCTAGGCAAGTGATTCCCTGCAGAAATATGAGGCTCCTGTGTAGCAGGAGTATTACTGTGCACAACAACAAAACTGAAGGGCATAGGAAGTGATGAAAGGAAAAAATGTAGGTACAGGATTTCAGTGACTGGAGATAGGGAATCTCTAGGCAAGTGAATCACTGCAGAAATATGAGGCTCCTGCGTAGTAAGAGTATTACTGTGCACAACAACAGAATGACTTCAGAATTTTGACTTGTGTTTACTGTTTTTTAGGCGTTCCTGAATGTGTTGGACCAGTGCCCCAAACTGGAGGTAGACATCCCACTGGTGAAATCCTACTTAGCGCAGTTTGCAGCCCGGGCCATTATTTCAGAACTGGTGAGCATTTCCGAGCTGGCTCAACCGCTGGAAAGTGGCACCCATTTCCCTCTCTTCCTGCTCTGCCTTCAACAGTTAGCTAAGTTGCAAGATCGTGAATGGCTAACAGAATTGTTCCAACAAAGCAAAGTGAATATGCAGAAAATGTTACCAGGTAAGAGTTGTGACATAGCTCTTAACAACACCTTGTGTTAGAATGTGTAAAGCATTTTTTCCTTAGTTTTTTACACCAGAGTAAAATAACATACAGTTAATGCAGTCAACTGTCATGTTTCTTAAGAGGTGGTTAGACCCATGAACCATTGATAGCAGGTTTTGATTAGCACCAGCACTTAAGAGTGTCTTTTCTTGTTTACTTGTTAGAAATTGACCAGAACAAGGACCGCATGCTGGAGATCTTGGAAGGGAAGGGGCTTAGCTTCTTGTTCCCACTTCTGAAACTGGAGAAGGAACTGCTAAAGCAAATTAAATCGGATCCATCCCCTCAAGCCATCTATAAGTGGATTAAAGATAACATTTCACCCAAACTTCATGTAGATAAGGGATTTGTGAATATATTGATGACCAGGTGAGATGCCATTTTGATGTAGTTAGGCACGTTTCGTTAAGCTGCTAATAAGTCACTAATTCTGTAAAGGCTGATGTGTAGTTCTGCAGGAAAAGATGCATTACACAGGGAGATAAACTGTTCTGAGGGGATGTCCCCTGTATTACATATCCATTATATTTGAGAAGAAAAGCAAGTCTGCAGGCTTGCATCAGTGGGAAGTGTTACTTCTGTGTGAGAGTATATTTGAGAAGAAAAGCAAGTCTGCAGGCCTGCATCAGTGGGAAGTGTGAGAAGTCTAGACCTGTGTATTATTTTTCTAAAGTGTTTCAGAGCCATAACAGAAGGAAAAATTAGGATTTTTGTGGTGCGTGGTCAATCACAATGCTAATCTACTGTGCATTCACCTAACTGCTGATACAAACAGGAGGGCATTTTTAGTAGCAAAATGGAATTTGCAGAGTGTACTGGTCTTTCTGTTACAGAAAGTGAAATGTAGCCGGCATTTTTAGTAGCAAAATGGAATTTGCAGTGTACTGGTTTTACTGTTACAGAATGTAAGATCTAGCTGCTTAGCAAGTCTTCAGAACTCACGTTTGTTTGTTTGTTGGGTTTTTTTTTGTCCAGTTTCTTGCAGTATATTTCTAGTGAAGTAAACCCACCCAGTGACGAATCGGATTCTTCGTCTGCTCCATCTAAAGAGCAGCTGGAGCAGGAAAAACAACTGCTTCTTTCCTTCAAGCCGGTAATGCAGAAGTTCCTCCATGACCATGTTGATCTGCAAGTGAGTGCTTTATATGCACTCCAGGTGCACTGCTACAACAATAACTTCCCAAAAGGTATGTGCATCAAGGTACTCTCCAAAATATGGCTGCATTTGGCTTTCAGGCTTGTCAGTACATTTCTTAAATAAACTGTTGTGAAGGTTATAAAGCTAAGGGAGTCAATTTATTCCTGCAGGCATGTTACTGCGCTTCTTTGTGCATTTCTATGACATGGAGATCATCGAAGAAGAAGCCTTCCTGGCATGGAAAGAAGACATTACTCAAGAGTTTCCAGGGAAAGGCAAAGCTTTATTCCAGGTAAACTTGCTAACGTTAGAGATTTGTCTTTGTGATCTCTGCTGCACTGGAGTGTGTGAGAACACTTACAAAAACAGGGTTTATGACTGGTTAGTTTCTAGAAACTTTATGCAGTATTTCACTGGGAAGGAGTAAGGCAAGATGAAGGAAATCTCTTTTCTTCACTGGAGACCTACCTGTAGTGCAAAGTGTGGCTGAAAGATTTTTCAGATGAATTGGGGACAAAAAAGAGAGTATTCTGTAGAAGTATATAGTGGGGAAATAATACCTACTGCCTTAAACCAATGTTATGTAACTGCAGGTAAACCAGTGGCTAACCTGGCTGGAAACTGCTGAAGAAGAAGAATCTGAAGAAGAAGCTGACTAAAGAACCAGCCAAAGCCTTAAATTGTGCAAACATACTGTTGCTATGATGTAACTGCATTTGACCTAACCACTGCGAAAATTCATTCCGCTGTAATGTTTCACAATATTTAAAGCAGAAGGATGTCAATAGGATATCCTCTGCAAAAGGTTTTTGTAGTATGTCTTAATAGTCTACAATAAAAATATTTTAGAGTATCCTTAATGTTTAGGTAACAGTGTATTAGCAGCATGCAATAATTACATCATAAGTTCTCGAGCAGAAGCAGTCTGTTGCAAGGATCTTCTTTGCTGCCAGTTATCATAGGCTGTTTTTTAAGTTAGAAAACTGAATAGCAACACTGAATACTGTAGAAATGCACTTTGCTCAGTGTAATACTTGAGTTGTTGCAATATTTGATTATCCATTTGGTTGTTACAGAGAATCCTTAACTGTAATCGATGGTTGTTGCCGTAATAGTATATTGCCTGTATTTCTACCTCTAGTAATGGGCTTTATGTGCTAGGTTTTAATATCCTTGAGCCTGGGCAAGTGCACAAGTCTTTTTAAAAGAAACAGTTTACTTGCACAAAAAACTGATCAGCTGAAGAGATGGTTTAATGCCCTTTGGAAGAGGTTTTTGTGGGTGTGAAACATGACATGGTGAGAAATTTGAATTGGTCCCTCTATTATAGTACTGAAATTAAGTCTACTTAATTTATCAAGACATGTTCATGCCCTGATTTTATATACTTGTATCTATCAATAAACATTGTGATACTTGACTTGTTTCTGAATGTTTCCCAGTAGAAAAGCTTTGACTGACAACTAGGTTGCTTATGGAAGGAAACATCAGTGGGAGTTGATTTAGACTGGTACCATCTTGAGATTCTTTTTATAATAATTGTCTTAACATGGAAATTAATGCTAAATAAGGTCACAGACAAGATTAGACACTACAAAGGAGGAAAATTGAGAAATTCTGCTGAAGAAATGGTGGGAGTTTGCCTTGTGGTCCAATGTATGCTTTATCAGTATGTGCTTTTTAACTTACTAATGCTTTGAACTTTCTCCAGGTCACACGCATGTTTTTAATGAAGTGGCACTGACTATTAGCTGCCTGTTTCTCAAATCAATTTGGAAAAAAAAACACCAAACCAGAAAAGTTCAATTATGTTGCATTGTACAGGCTTGAAATGTCATCTATTAAATACAGAGGATACCTTGCTTCTTAGAACCTTGTCCCTAGTGCAATTCTTTTTTTCCTCATTGATACTCAGACTTAACTGTGGAAAGGTGGTGGTGGTGACGTGCTTCTAAAGGCAAACCAGTAGTGGCTGCTTGACTGAAGGTTGGTTTGGCCAGTGCTGGAAGGGCTTTAGACAACCTACTGTCTTGTGCATTGTGGGAGATGGAAAAGTACAGTCCGAGAGAACTACTAGACACCATAAAATGGCTTGTTTTAAGGGGAGGGATGGTTGGCAGTAAGGTACCTTAAAGTGCTGTGGCTGAAGGAGTGGGTTTGCTGCTCTTGTTTTGCTGGTGGTTTGCTATGAAAGGCAGCTCCCTAACTTACAGTTAAAAGTAGTGGCCTCTTGCAGACTTGGAAGTGTGATGCCCTCAGTTTTCTGCAGGTGCCTCAGTAATTTACTGTACAACGTGCAGCCTGGTAGGTACTGTGCTTATGGAAACCAAACGCCATTCATAAAAGGTATTTAATTTCTGGAATTGCTAACAGAAATTCCATTTCCCTTAACACCATCTCTGCATTTTAGAAATGTGGCTTATGTAGCAGTTATAACTTCTGTGTAACAGTGGTGAGCAGAGACATCATAGGCTCACCAAAAAATTTCATTATTGGTATCTTCTTCCCAGTCATGTTATAGAGGAATCTTCAATTTATGGAATTTCTTTCTTAGCTGTAGAGTAACACCACCATCGATGCTAGACCTATAGGGGCTGCAGGGTTTACCTTCATTTCACGTCCATTTTTGGATAGGTAAAAGGTGCTTCTCAAGTGGATGTCCTATATACTCAGTGAGGTTCTGCAGCTAAATATCCTTTATTAGGACAGAGGAACATAGTTTCAAGGTTGACTTTTAATTCATTCCAAGTTCTGCTGTTTCAGAATTGCAGTTTGTGTTAAGATGCAGACTGGTGAGGTTTAACATTGTTTCACTAACAGGGTTGTTTCTGTTCTTAGTTTCATTTGTGTTAAACTTTGCTGTTAGAGCTGATCAGTTCAGGGGTAGGTGCCACCACGGTGCTATGTCCTGTACTTCTCTTGTTGGTGCTGCAAAGCTGAAGATGGGGAGGAACCACAAGTCAGGAAAGAGCAGTCCTAACCAGTAGGTTCCAACTAAATTTATTGCAGAGGCAATAGTAGGAGGAGGTGCAAGTAAAAACAATTTCTAAAGAAAAATGAGGAGAATAGAATGAGAACCTGCAAATAACCTTCTCCAAACCCTTGGCAAAAAAGTTAAGCTGCAGCTGTAGATGGTTGGAATAGGGTAACTAGCAATTTCTAAAGAAAATTGAGGAGAATAGAATGAGAACCTGCAAATAACTTCTTTGCCAAGGGTTTGGAGAAGGTTAAGCTGCAGCTGTAGATTGTTGGAATAGCGTAACAGCCTTGTATTCTTGCCCAGTCTAAAATGCAGTTGCTACAATCTTACATACTTGTGCGTGGAGGCTTTGCTGCTTGGCTTGTTTGTAACTAGTCACTGAGTTAGGAACTCTGTTAGGGAAGAGCAAAGGATAAGAATCACGACCAAAAGTGTGGAATAGAACATAAGGATTAGAAGATGTCACTAACTGTAGCATTACTCTCCCTCATGAGACACTTGCAAAATGTACATGCAGTTAGTATGAACGGGTCTGGTTTCTTGAAACTGGTGTAAAAATGGCTCTTGTAACTGCAGTGTCTGTGTTAAAATGGTATTTCCATAGATAAGGAGAGGGAGCATCTTCAGCTGCTCATTTAAGTTTTCAGTACTTGCCTACAGCGTGTGTGACTTCAGTCAGTCTGGAAGAGGGGAGGGGTGTTCAGTTGATCTAATTCTGTGTGGCTTTTAACTATGAGTTGCCTTGTACTTCAAATGTAAATAGAGTATCCTTGAGTAAAGTCACAGTCCAAATTAAACCAATGTAACACCAATGATAACGGCTTTTATTAGTATTAATTCTGTTAAATGTTAGGTATAACATAACTACTCTCACAGGAGGATTGGAAGAAAATGAATATTAAACACATTTAATAGCAGTTACAGTCACGAAGTTTACCTTTGGAAAAAAATGGATCCAGGTTGCAGTTATCATTCAGGAAACTTCATTTCCACATGTGGGAGTTGCCTGGTGTGTTATTTGGCAGCACGTCCACTGTGAGCCAATCCATACCAGGCTCAGAGGTTCCTGCAAGGGGAGTTAGGGGTTGGTTATTGAAAATGACCAGTCGTTGTAGACTCCTGCCTTTTCCAAGGCGTGTTGTTTCTGTCACTGTTTATACCAGTAGAAGACTAGATCTGTTTTTGAAGCTGTGATTGTCCCTGGTGCTTAGTTGTATTAAATTGGGATATTTCAGGAAAGTTGTCTGGTCAATGTTGCCAAAAGTCAAAAGATCTTCATAGCTCTGCACAGGCATGTTTTTTTCTTGGGGAACATTACAGGAAGAAGCCTTTGGGGGGTTGGTGGGGAGGAGGTTGGGTACAGAACAAAATTTTTTCAAGTGTGACTTGGCTGACCTGCTTTTTTAGCAGATGGAAACTTCCACCTGAATGTTGTTGGGATTTGAAGTTGGTTTTTTTTTTCCAAAACAGTGAATGAATCTAAAAAATGATTAATTTCAGCAGTCTTGAATAATAGTTGCTGTAAACTTTTCAAATGCATCTGAAAGATGAATTGTTATAGTTGATGTTGCAATCCAGGCTCAGCAGCTGCAGTGACTGATAAAAAATTAACTTCTTGCCAGTTTGTGCTTATTTTCTTAAAGGGGTTACCAGAGAGGTGGTGCAGCAAAGCAAAGGGGAGGGCTCACTCTTGGAGAAACCTAAGTTTATTAACTGATGCTTGCTGTGGCAGACAGAGGTGTGTATTTTTGGAATACTCTCACCTTGTGACAGAATATTAGCTGTGTTAATTTTGAACAGTTGCTTAAGTAATTACTTGCATTGAATACAAACCAGGTTTGAAACCAGTGACTTCAATTCCATGAATCTGGAAAATTAGAATGTGATACTCGTAGCAGAATATGCAAAGGTGTCACACAAAGAGGACTCAGTTATCAAATGCTCTTGTGTGAAGTTGCTTTCTGCCTCATCTCACATAAATTGCCAAATCTTGTAATTTTAGCACTGCTGTTTTTTATCTTGAATGATGTTGGTGAGAGACCAGAAGCACTGAGCAGTTGGCCGGCGGGGAGGTGTGGTCTCAGCACAGAGGGGCAACATCACTGTAACAGGAAAGGAAGAAAAGAATTGTACAGCAGATCTACAGCTATAGATACTAGGGTTAAAGAGAAAATATTAATCAGTGTGACTCTGAGATTTCTGCAGAGTTCTTCTGCATCTGCTTCCAGACCAACCAAGGCAAGACATCCAAAGAAAGCTTGATGTTGCCTCAAAAATAGCCAAGTTTTTCTGTGCAGCTATCTAGTAAGATACAAAACAGGTGCAGTATCTCCCTGGATTCACCCCTAACAAGGTATTACAGAATAAGCTTCACTTCTAAAGAACAAAATCAGGCTTTTATCTCTGAGGTTTGGAGGCTGAACAAGATTTCTCAGGTAGAAGGAGTTCCTGGAATGGTGTAGCTTTTAATGTGGTGAAGTTGAAGCGATACAGGCTCATCTGGATTCGTTTTATAGAGCCCACATCCCTTTCCTCTCACACATTCCCTGCGACTGGTAGTTGGAGCCCAGTGAAATGTTATTTTTAATGAGTTGACTGAGCAGCCATGACAACAGAGTTACACTTGGCGTAAATACATGGCTGGAGTGAGGAGAACAGCCATCTGAGAGGGACTTTTATCTTCAAATATTTTGAAGTTTATAACAACATAAATCTTAAATTTAGTTTCTGTTTGTTTGCAGTGAAACTGCCCAAAGGACCTGATTTGCAAAGTATTCCCAGAATTTTATTATCTAAGAAGCTATGCAAAACACCATGGTCTGTGAAAGGAAAAGGGATCTTTAGCTGGTTTGATAAATTATGTGGAGGATGAAGAGTTTATAGAACTTGTTCAGTTATAAAACAGATGTTTTTCTTTCTGGTAGGACAAAGTAAAAATCTGAGAAATGAAGGGAGGGTAAGGTAGCAAGAACATTAGAGTTAAAATAAAAATAGAGGTGAAGGTTTGATTTGCATTTCTACGGTGATTTTGTTTAACCCTCCAGGGAATGATTGCAAATTCTTTCAGACTTCCTAGGCAGTTGAAGATTTAATCACTTTAGAGTGTAGGATACTGGGTGACTGGCCTTTCTCAGAGAGGGATCTTGCACATTTGAATAAAATATTTAAAATAATTTTGAATTACACCAAAGTTAGAGTTCACTGTGGCAGAGGCTTGCTTTGTTTCTGCTGTTGGCCAGGGCTAGCACTGTCACCTGCATCAGCTCAGGGACCCATGGTATGATCAGATACTTGAAAATAGATTTAAACAGGAATTGGTCTCTTAACAGTTTTCCCAAATTGTAATTTATTTTTTTTCCCCATATTATAATTTTTGTGTTGGGGGAATTGGTCTCTTAACAGTTTTCCCAAATTATAATTTTTGTGTTGGAAACTTACATTCTGAGGAAATGAATTGCGCCGATTTCTGTGATACTGGGCTGCCAGTAGGGTTCAGGGAGAAGGTGACATCATCCATGGAGATCATTTCTGGAGAATCATTTCACAGCTGCTCCTTTAGAAAACACTTGGTCTCTACAGCAAAGTAATAAACAAGGTGCCAAGTACGTGCATTGGGCCATCTCCAAGTTTTTTCTATATGTATACATGTATATATACATTATATATATCCCCATTTATTTGTATTTCTTTTGTTTCTCTTATACAAATGCCATTCAGTTACTCAATTATTTTAAGCTTACGCTGCTTGCTGAGTTATTATTTGAGATTCTGGTTAACAGTAGAAGTACTAACACTAATCAGCCTTCCAGGTGTTGACACAACACAACAACACGACCTGTAGTTGGGTACAGCTGACACTTTAATCTTAAAAATATTGTCAAAATAAGTG